GCCAGCAACTATTCCAGCTTTGGAAGACAACATTTCCGAAGAAATTCGGGCTATTCCGGCCGAAATGCTCGAAAAAGTTGCCCAAAATTGGACTTTCCGAATGGACCACCTAAGACGCAGCCGCGGTCAACATTTAAATGAAATTATCTTCAAAAAGTAAATGTCATGGACCAATCTAACGTTTCAAATAAAGAACCGATGAGATTTTGCAAATTTTATGCGTTTTTTTTAAAAAAAAAGGTATCAAGCTCTTAAAAAATCACCCGTTATTTTGTATTTAAATATGTACAACTATTTTTAACCGACTTCCAAAAAAAGGAGGAGGTTATCAGTTCGTCGGAATATTTTTATTTTTTTTTTTAACCGACTTCCAAAAAAGGAGGAGGTTATCAGTTCGTCGGAATATTTTTATTTTTTTTTTTAACCGACTTCCAAAAAAGGAGGAGGTTATCAGTTCGTCGGAATATTTTTATTTTTTTTTTTAACCGACTTCCAAAAAAGGAGGAGGTTATCAGTTCGTCGGAATATTTTTATTTTTTTTTTTAACCGACTTCCAAAAAAGGAGGAGGTTATCAGTTCGTCGGAATATTTTTATTTTTTTTTTTAACCGACTTCCAAAAAAGGAGGAGGTTATCAGTTCGTCGGAATATTTTTATTTTTTTTTTTAACCGACTTCCAAAAAAGGAGGAGGTTATCAGTTCGTCGGAATATTTTTTATTTATTTTTTTTTATGTATGTTACAGCATAACTTTGGACCACGGCAACCGATTTCCATAATTCTTTTTGCATCGGAAAGGTAGAGGTGGTCCCATACTAATCTGGTTAAGATCCGATCAGTGGATCATGAGATATATATATAAATATATTTTTTATATGAGACTTGACGTCGGTTTGTTTTTTTGCTAAAAATTAATTGTTAACATCTCTGGTACTTTGTATGGAAGAACATGCGTGACACTGTCAGGGGAAAAAATCATCAAAAATCAACACGATTTCTAAGCCACTTAAAATTTGCACTTTCCAAAGTTAGAATTTAATGCGTTATAAAACTGCTTACTTAGATTTTTCCTTAAAAGTTCTTAACAAAAAGTTTGTTCTTGTTGTAAAATTTTGTTGAATATGTCTAATTTTTCTCTACAATTTAAAATTTGGACTAACATGGTGTATATTAGATAATGAACTGTATTTTTATAAAAAAAAAATATAGACACTAAGCCACCAAAGAAGAATAGGCACAACTGGTCAAAATGTTCTGTTCCTATTACATGACTATAGATTGACACATTAATAGCCAGTTTCGCGAATGCAATTTAAATGAAAAATGTTTTTCCCGTCAGTTTCCATATTAAATCCAATAAAAAACAAATAATTTTTCACTTAAATTGCTTTCGTGCAAGCTTTGGAAAAATAAAATTAAACTCTATTGCAGTACTAAACAGTGTTTGAAAAACTGGTACTTTACATTGGCAGCATCTAACTCTCTTTTTATTTTGCAGCGAGTTTAAAAGTTGGAAAATTTTGCGTATTAATTCCGAGAGCTAGGCTAAAATCGATCATTTTTGAGCGCCATGTTCGGTAATCGTGTCCGGCGATGTTCATTGGCCATCTCGGAGCTGCAATTTGTGGCCGTTACAATTTTTTGTGGGGTGGCATGAAGGTCCAATTTAATGCGAACAAACCATTTACGATTCAGGCCCTTAAGGCGAATATTGTGCAAGCCACTCATTAGATAGAGCCAGACATCATCACCAATAACTTGGAAAACTGGGTTAACGAAATTATGTTCCATAAGTAACACAGGATACTGATTCCGATGCGGTAAATTTTAAACATGTTTTTGAGAGACTCCTTCGTGCTGATTGCGAATCCAGATTTTGAGAAAACCGTGGCCAAAGTGTCAGAAAATCACTTTTTTTGCACTATTTGAGAAGCTCTAGCTAAGAAACAAAAGGTGATAGAACCTTAAAAGCTAGGACTCCCAATCTGCACCTTGACCTGGTGGTCACTTATACTTCTATTTACTACGCAAATTATTTACTTTAGTCGAAATTTTCGGTATGAATTAAATTCAAGAGAGAAAACTCGCTGAACCAATACACATATATGCCAGACTGGTTCTTAATATCACCAACGCTTATATATTCGCCTTACTATATATGGCAATTCAAATTTCCGTTCGACCAATTCACATTTCTATCTAAATACCACAAAAATGTTTATTGGGTTTAGCCCTAACTAATTTATAATTTTTTAACTAATTAACCAAATACATTTGCTCCAAATTACTGAAAACGATTTCGTATTTACCAACTGACACAAATAAGCAAAATAAATTACAACCGGCGCTTATATGTTTGTACAAATACATACATATATATGTACGTAGACTTAACAAAAATTAACTCACCTTCTCCTGAGTAGATTCATCAACGCCACTGTCATTGTCACCTTCTGAAATTAAACGAAAGTTTACAATTTGTGTTTAAATTAATGTGAGAAATCAAATGAAAAGCCTCAAGCAGTTTGGTTTCAATACTTGCAATGCCCCATCCATAAACTGATAACTTTCCAAGAGCATAATACATATTGATATGTATATATGTACATAAGTATAAGTAAATTTAAAATTGTTTGTATTGTTGTATTCTTACTGTGATCACCACTTTTCTGCTTCCGTCCATTCTCCACGCCGCTGCTTAACATTTCCTGTATGCTCGACAATGTTTTCATGCCGTTCGCTTTCACCTCGGCTATTGGTGTCAGCGTCTCGCCCATGCCAAATGCATCTTTGATTGAGTTGGTTTTAACTTCCGCCACCGCTGGTCCCATCGGATCCTCATTTGCACTCAACGTCTTACGCGGTGTTATCGCTTGACCCACCACCACATCATCATCATCTTCATTGTTGTTCGAACTGGCCGATGGTGGGCGTGGTGGTAACTGTACGGGAGATTGTTGGTATGGTTGTTGCTGTAGTTGCTGTTGTGGTAGCTGTTGCTGCTGCTGTTGCGGTTGCTGTTGCAGTTGCTGATAGGGCGGTCGTTGTAGTGGTTGTTGTTGTGCACCCACTTGCGGAACGCCAGGCGGACGTGCAAATGGCGGACGCGTCGGTGGATTGCCAGGATAGGGATTTTGTGGACGATTCGCTGGCATTTGTTGACCAGGTGGTGCACCGGACCAAGGATATGCAGCGGGCGGGCGTTGTTGACCTTGCCCAGGTGGACTCATTGGACCGCCATTCGCGCTAGGTGGACGCATTTGCAGGTTTTGCAGCGGTGGCGGTGGTGGACGTTGCCCGCTGCCAGGGCCACCAATACCCATCAGCAGATTTCCCCTGCTATCTGTGTTACGCAATGGAGGTGGCATTGATCTTGGTGGAGGACCACCACCAGGTGCACCGCCCATGTTCATGGGAGCGCGAGGTGGCCCAGCCATCGGCCGGGGGGGCATGCCACCGCCAGGAAATGGTGGGCGAGGTCCACTGACAGGTGGCGGTCGCATCTGCATTTTCACAATTTGAATAAATTTCAGTTCGCGCGGCAAAAATAATATGTATGTATGTATGTATGTATGTGCGCACGTAAGCATGTATGAACATCAGGATGCCTCGCAAAAACAAGTTGCTGCTTGTACAAACGAATTATAAAACTTGAACAGTCTCTCTTGAATATTTAATTTCAACATGTTGCCACCTAGTTTTGTGCTTTTCCACCTCGTGAACAGAGTACAACTTTTTCGTAAACAATTTGAGGAACTTAACCAGGGACCGATAAAGCGCTCCAACTAAATAGGAACAAAAGTATTGAGAAGCAGTTTGAGCGGGAACAGAAAAAGAACAAAAGGTCCGCGAACGTGCCCGTAAAATACAAATTGCGAACGAAACTCTCGGGAACGTTCTTAAAGAGAACAAAATGAGAACAAAACTCTAAAGAACATTCTCTATAAGAACATAATGAGAACGAAAGTATCGAGAACATTTTCAAGTAGTAGCAAATAAGAGCAAAAGTCTGTTAGAGAACAAAACGAGAACAGAAGCTTTGAGTACTTAACGTTAAGAATGAGAAGGGCGTCTGCATGGTGGGATGAAAAATTGCTTCAGGAAGAACTATGACTGTTATTTCTAAGCCAGATGAATCATTTGAACTTCAAGCTCATTAATCATTAGGTTGAACAGTCCATGTATGGAACCATTTTTCATTTTATGTGCAAGCAAAATTCGTGTCTTAGGCCTTTCGTTGACTTAATTTGCATAATTCTCTTAAAATTTTATTTTTTTTGATAATGGTACTATTCAAATATTTCAAACTAACGTAGCGCTATGAGAAATATTTTTCACGTTTCGTTCTCTGTCAGAAACTTCTTGAGACTTGATTCCCCAAATTGTGCTTCGAGAGAAAGTTCCTTGACCCGTTTGTTCCCGTTTTGTTCTTTGTCAGAACGTTGCGGAGACTTTTGTCCCCACTTTGTTCTCTTAGAAATGTTCCCAAAAGTATTGCTTGGATTTGGTTTTCTTTGAGAATGTTTCACATGGTTTTGTTGTTATATAATTCCCGTTAAGAACGTTCTCGACAATTTTTTTCTCACGTTCGATTTTGTAAAAATACCCTGGAGGGTTTTGTTCTCATTTGGGTTAGGGTTTTGTAGCGTTCTTGGGAACAAAACTTAGAGAACGACATTAAGTTTCCGGGGTGTGCATAGCTCAGTGGTTAACGCATCTGACTTTGCACATCGATGATGCGGGTTCGATCCCTGCTGAAGTCTAGAAAAAGAACTCTGATGAGGAGATGTGATGATCTCCGAAATATCTCTCTGCTATAACTTCTACTGCCTAGAATGTCCTGGTTGCTTTTTCCATTTTTCCTAATAAACAAAATCGTGGCACAAAGCTCAATAACAATATTAAAAATAAAATGTTAATAAGCGACAATAACATTAACAACGACATTAAGTTTCGATCGAAAAAGCAAATTTTGATCGGAACTTCTAACTAAAAATTATAAAAGCTACAAGTTAACTAAAATTCTTTGCTTTTTATTTGTGAATGTTTTTGTGGCTTGTAAATATTTAATTTTAATATTTTTATTAAGCTTTGTACCACGATTTATTTATTCGGAAAAGTGCTTTGCTTTTTGTTTTGAATTGCAAACTCGCTCGCTCTCTGGCTTCTATAAACTGTACCGATAGATTTAATAACAATAATCAGACTTTTCCAAAAACTAACTTCGCTCATACCCGATGTATCTCGTAATAGACAATTGCTTCAAATACATTAAAAAAGTCAAGCTATTCATACGTACATATTCCTTCTTTTTTTTGTGAAAAATAAATACTTCTAAATTGTTTGGTTTATGAATGAACTGTGGGATCACATTATTTCATTAACGAGTTTCTGGTAATTTGTATCAAAATTAAAAATATATTTAACTTTTCGGCAGTTTTTGAATAAAAAAATGCAGATCTTTTACTTTGTCTACCTCCATAGAATATTTTCCTACAGAAATGCTGGGCGACAACAGTTTTTTTTTTTTTTTTTGAATCAATGAAAAGCACGATTTCTTGCAGTATATCTAACGCGTTACGGTTGTCTTTGAATTGAGCCAAAATATTTTGGTGGAAGTCATAAAATAAACTACATTTTATTATTCGCTTGTGGAAGGAGAACTGAATTTTTTATATTTTGCGTGAGGTAGTCTAATGTATGCCTATTAGTATATGTATTTGAAAGTGCTGAAATATGCAAATATTTATGTAGTAAAGTGCGATTAAGATCCCAACCAACCACAACAAAAATTTGTCTAAGCGAAAAAATCGTATGAAAGCCACCTGATTGAAGCTAGTTAGCATACCGTGGTATAACTAAGTTTGTTTGTAAATATATATGTATGTATGCTGAATTTGTTTACATTTTAATGGTATCGTATTTCGTGCTGTTCTTCTGAGACATTGCGGAAAAGAGTAGGAGATTTGACCTGAATAATGAATTTCGGCTGTAATCAGAGCTGAACGAAGGGCTACAAATCACTTATTGATTCAACAAATTCCAACTTTATATCCTTTAACAAGTTTACATACATATGTATACATTCATGTACATATATATAGATATCTGCGAATTTTGTACTTATTTGTTGCATACAAAATATTTATATTGCTCATGCTACGAATTAGAATATATTTGCAATACCACAAATTTTGGTGTTTTATGGCAAACGCGATAGTAAGCAAATGTTTACATTTACGTCCTATGCCACCACAAAACAGCCTCGGCTTCAACAAGGTCGCCATAATAGTAAATATTGTGAACAGGTTTAGAGCGCTTTGTAATACACTACTAGCTAATTTGAATAAGATAACGAAAACATTAAGGGGGCAAAAAGAGTTGACTACTCTTTGAGCAGAATAAGTCGTTTAATATTTAGTTTCTCATGATTTATGGGTATATCAATACTTATACATACATACATCCATAAGTATGTAGGTATTTATGAATGTAGAAATTTTCAGAATTTATGAGAAAAAGCCTTACCGCCAAGAAGCGATTTGCACTTATTTGTATGTACAAATAAATGTATTGTTAAAAAAGCAAATGTAAGTAAAAATGACAGTGCAACAAAAAAAAATCACGAAATACACCCTAAACAAAACTTGGTGTGGTTTGCAGGTAGGGCCGGTAGGGTCGAGTACAACATGAAAATTGGCTTCTTATAGTTCCTTAACCCTATTTTTTTTTAATTTAAAAAACGGTTATTTTCGTACTTGATGCCCTTGTTATGTTTTAACATACTGACTATTTTTCACTCGATTTTTAAAATTAAACATGTTTTTAAAGGAGGACTTAGAGGATTTTGAAATTACTTAGATTGTTGGAAGTTAGCATTGGGGTAAATTTAATAAACCCCTATTTTTCAACTTTTACCATCGATAAATTCAAAAAGGGGGTGCTTAAGGAGGCCCAGGGCTGCGTGTGTACCAGGTTTGGTACAGATTGATGAAGTGGTTTTCCAGATAGACGTATTTGACGTAAGTGTACAGTAACACGCCCATTCTTCAAAAGTTGCGGAATACTTTTTTTTGCTAAATAGGCATTGTATATATCACAACCAAAGGGTGAAAAGGAGCCAAGTCCATTTTTTTGAATTGTTTAGGAGAGAAATTTTCTTAATGGAAAAACGAATACGCGTATTTTCTTACTAAAAATAGATATTTAGAACTACCTTAAAAGCCCATGAAGTTTTTCGAAGATGTGGCATAGAATTCTTAAAAATCAATATTTATCTCCAATTGTTTATTTTAGCATTTTTAATACTAACGATTTTTTATGAGTTCCCCCAATGCATATTTTTGCGGTTTTGGGGGGCCTATAAAAATTGTTAGATAAACAATTGGGTGTCGTTACTAGGAGTCTCCTAAAGAGAAAAAGTTTTCTGATGGAAAAATACTGATTTTCAAGAATTCTATACTATTTCTACGAAAAATGTGTTTGTCCCACATAAAATACATGCAAAACTCAATGTCCTATGTATATATATATATATATTTTTTTTTTACAAAAAACAGGTATTTTTCCATTTTTAAAAGTCCTAGAGCTTGACATTTTAAACTTTTTTCACCGCATGCATTTTTGGACTACCCTAATATACATCCATATAAATTCATGACCGTATTTTTACTTAAATTACTCAACTTCTGCAATTTTTATCCGATTTAATTAAATGAGGTAAAAATTTGTTCGAAAAAAAATTTACGTTTATATAGAAACTATAGAAACTTTCATGGAAAGTTTTGAAATTTGCAATGTTCAAAGCTTAAAAAATCAAGAAAAAAAGTTTTTTAATTTTTACCGCATGAAAACTCCCAATAATCTAAAGACCGTTTTCTCAAGTAGCCTTTAAAACTTGTCTGCCCTTTAAATATATTTTTTCAGAACGAGATTTGTGTTTGCAGTGTGGACCTGAGAAAACGGCCCTAATGGCGAATTTCCACTAGGCATTGAAATTACAAAAAAATGTATGCCATTTAAAAAAAAGCCAAGTGGAAATGAACTTAATGACTACTTTTTTAATGTAATGACAAGATTATTTCTTAATGCCCGGCTTTGTCATTTGTCATTTTTGCCATTTAATGCCTAGTGGAAAGCCCGCATAAGTCATTCTAAATGTCTCTAAATGCCATTTTCAAAAAGTTTTATACAAAAGAAATAGAAAGTTCAGAAATCGATTTTCATGTTGCACTCGACTACAGCACTGTGCCATTCTTTATAACCATATGACGTTTTACTTTTTTTATGGGAATGTGGAAGGCTTTGTAGTTAAGGAGAAATTATATTTTCAATTTTGTCATACTCTTATTTCGATTGTTGTTAAATCCCGCTTAAATAATAGGAATTTTTTCGGATTGGCTGTTCTTTTTGGTATGCGGTTGCAACAGAATAAGGCTATTGTGTGGTTCATATGAAATACTAGGTGCTAATAAAAGTACATACATACATACATACATATGTTTTAAAAAAATAATTAAGTAGAGACTTTGGTTACAATACTTACCGCCTCTGCATCACCCATTTTTATTCACAATCCACTGATTTATAATGTTAGTTTCAATTATTTATTTATTTATAATTTTACTCTTTATTTCTTTACTTGGTCTTTCTATATTATACTTTTTTTATTGAATTTAGAATTATAGTATATTTTTATTCCAGATAAATTGTGCTCATATACAAATTAAGTATCACGAACCTATGTTTCTTCTTATTTTCATTGACTTTTCGTTGTGAACAATGCTTTTATAAAATGTACTAGCAATTACCCGGCGTGCTTCGCTGCGCCTTAAATGTATTTTTGTGTTGTAACTCTCCCCCTAAGCTCTTATGGCCTCATTTACAAAATATTTTTAAAGAACTTTATGAAGTTAGATTTAAAAAAATCGATCTATGAAGCATTGTTTATTTTTTTTTTGAGTTAATATATTTTCGAAGGTAATTAGAAAATATGTAAAGAACCGACTTTCTCTTGGAAATTTAATTTATAATCTTATAACTGGAGTCTACTATCGCACCCTTTCCTCAAACGTGTATT